GCCATTGGCGGCTTGATTTGTTTTAAGAATCCGCCACAAACTTTGCATCAACGGAGGAAATCTTATAATTCGAAAAGTACTAATTGTACTTGCTGACCAATAGTGACGATTACACATTTAGGATAACAATGGAATTGTCTCTTTCGGGATCACCTGTGTCATCTTGAAAGGTACCCTGGCCTTTTCATCAAAGCAAGATGACCGTTGCATGATCATAGGAATATTTTTTAAAAATCACACAGACAATTATTCACAGATATCTATCATTGCAAGCTCAACTATTGTCATGCTTTGATGCAACACGGCTACACCTTTTAAGAAGGCGCAGGGAACCGTGAAGGAGACCATTGTTGTGATCTTTTTTGTGATTCACGGAATAATCACCATCATAACATTCATGCTTTTTCCATTATTTTTTTTCAGACTAACCAAATTAACGAGCTTGTAGAAATTAGTACTGGATTACTTGATCCAGAATCTGATGTTTTCAAGGAAGTTTTACGTTACTGTTTAATGATTTACGGAGGTTGTATAGTGCTTGGGTCGTTTTATGAGATTTGGTATCAATGGCAGAAGAGAAAGATGGAAAACTTACAAGGTAATATGATAACAAAATCAACGAACTCCTTAAGACTAAAATAACTGAATGGGATTCAACACATCATCGGAATTCAATCTAACATCATCACTATCCTTATCATCATCATTAAAGCCACATCAACACCACTCCATACCACAGCGACTACCATGATGATTTCACGGGTCCGGTTATCACAAATTCATTTTAAGTGAAAGGCTCTATAACAAGTAGAGGTGATTAGAATCATGCATCTTCTCATATGGTCACCATCTTGAATTCTATCGAAACAATATAGGATGCCATATATTTGAATTTTGCTAAGAAATAATCCAAACTTTGAATGAATGAAACTATCATAGAAAGTACTTCGTCTGTACCGAAAGGGGAGGGGTGATAGGATGATTAGTGAAGTCACTACACAGGAAGGACAATATGATAAAACGTGCATTTACAATGACGTAGTTACACAGAAAGACCAACTATCACGATAAAAGATCGCTGTGAGTCTAGAAATTGTTGTAGAAATGTGATCCTCCGTCTTTAACCAAGCTTTTTACCAATTTTGTATACGAATCGAGCTTTTGGAGTACAAAAACCTCTAGTGAGCTAACTGCGTATTGACATATTTATAGAGGATATTACATGGGCGCGATGATATACGCGAATTTTATATTTTCGAGTGTTGAAAAGATCTCTTACGAGTGAGCGAATGTCATGGATGCTTTTTTGCAATTAATATTTAGTGGAGTTTCTAAGAGATGTCTTCGGTGGGTTTTTATTGGGATTTTTGTGCAGCCTATAGCCTCTAGCTTTCAGCAGACACATAGATAGATTGACAAAAAGGGCTAGCCCAACTAATATTTACCTTACGTCACCCAATGTGTCTTCTTTTTAATGTTCCAAAAGTATTGTGCGCAAGGGGTTAGGGGGTAAATGTTTTTGACACTCCAGTTCTATCCTCTCTTATTAGTGACAATATATAAACACTCTTTTGACATCATTTCTTTTAAAAATCACTTAAAAATCATGACAATCAAAACCGAAACGAGCACAGTCAGAATCACTGAAATGCAAATAAGTTCGTAAAAAATTCTGTTACTGACCGCCGAGTTCTTCATTATAACCGGTATTTTGGCACTTTTGACATTGATACAAGGGAATTGTACATCCGGGACCTCCAAATCCAAGAACTCACACAAAGGTTCCCATCCCTGTTTGATGTTGTAGATGAGAAGGTCGTCCCGCGGGATCTCATTTTTGACTCGAGCGTTGTGCTCATTGTACAGGGTAGGAAGCTTTTGCTCATTAAAAAATTCCATTCTTTTGACGAACTGTCGACTAAACTCCTTCCATTTTCGACCTGTAGGTGTAATTACAAACCCTAATCGCATCCAAAGTAGTGACACGAATGTTTGTTCAAAAAGTATTTGTGTGTGTTGAATACTCTTAACCCACAAATCAACACTGTCTCGTTCCATTAGTATGACTTTAGAGTTGGGGAAGCTAGTTTTTATCTCTTTCCAAAAGAAGCAGGAATGAATATCTGTAGTCGCGTCAACATTGCTGTACATAGCTTTAAAGTCAGGTATTCGTCCATGCATGGCTTCAATGTATTGATCCATATGGTATTCAAGATGTTCTTCGAAGTCATGTACCGTAAAACCAAGTATCCTTAAAGCTGCTGCTATAGATTTGGTACCCGTTTTTGGTAGTCCTGCACAAATAATCTTCATTCTAGTGATATCAGCGAAAGTCTTAGAAGCCGAATTCAGTTCACGAGTGAGTGCAGCCATGCGTAATCGAGCTGTTTACATGAACCAATSGTGTGAAATAGTCTGGAACAAATCGATTTCATTATTGGAGAGGTGTCAAAGTTCCCCTCAGTATTTTTAACATAATTTATGAAGGCTTTCTCCCAACACACTGCCGTTACAGAAACAGTACAAAGTTGTTTCACCTCCTCAGTTTTTTTTTACAGTCAGTGTTAAAATTTATTTTTTTGCACAACTGTTTCTTTAGAATGAGAGTTGTGTAAAAATATAAATTTGACACCGTAAAAATGGGTGGAACAACTTACTGAATTTTATCAAAACACACACTAATTATACGTTCAACCGTAGGAGGCACATGCGCTCATTGAGCGCCTTTAATTGCATTGTTATTTTAATAGGCTTGTTATGCTTATTCTAAAAAAAAATTCGTCTCTTCTCAGCATCTTCACCAGCGTACCAGTTGAAAGTCAAGCTTCAAGACGAACTTAGAACATTTACAAACGATTTTATCCAAGACCTCCAAACAAAGTCGATTAACCTACGCAAGCGACATAGAACTCAACTGATTCGTTTACATCGCAAGGGAATATAGGCTCAATTTTATAGTAATAGCATTATCTATGCTAACTTTACCGAGATTGTAGCACATGTACTATATCTTACTTATAGTTAAATATAACTGTTAACTGGGGTTAACATTTCAACAAAATGTCACGACTACTTTTTCCGGCTATTGAAGGAACCCTGAAAACACAGATCCATCATTTGATTTAAACATTGATTCCTGGTGGATGGGGACAGAGGTTTTATTGGACTGATGCATGCATACAAAGGATTTTTATATAAGTAAAAAAGAAACACCCGATCACTAGAATCAACTGATGTAGTGCACCGCTGGGCCGCGTCAACACGTTGTACGCCGATTAGTGTATAAGCAAGTTTATATTTTCGATTAACACGTCCGAACGTCCACATGTACCTGTCAGTTTCCGGAAGCAGAATAGAACAATCTGGACCAAATAATCGTATTCACAACAAGTCCTGAGTCGCCATAACAAATTATTCTGCTAAAAAGTCAGTACGTTATCTAAATTTTCTTTTCAAAATAAAAAAAGTAAAATATAATTGATTGTATACAGTAATTTTGATACTAATGAAATAAAATGGAATGGTCTGTTGTTACTTGGGCTCCCTGTGGCTGAGCTTATGGACTACCTGTGTTATCAAAACACTTCAGGTTGCTATGGCAAATTGTCAGCAAAAGAGCAATGGCGGCGAAAATTGACTTTTAAGTCACAACCGAAAAGAAAAGTACGGAAATACTRAATAATTACTCTACGTATCCAACTGAGTGATGGRTAGAAGTGGGCTTTAGCTTATAAGAAACCAAAATATTTACAATATTGTGTGGAATTCCGGTATTTAAGAGAAATAATGGTTGAAAAGTTTACGCCAGCGACGAGTCTTGCCAAAGTCAACAGCAAAGCAGTTGGTTCAACAGGTAAGATTTGTAAAGACGTCTACCTTCTAATTCATCGTAAAGAAATTTCGATTTGTTCTGAATATTCTAATGT